GCTTTGATCAATTTACGTTTTAATAGTCTGTTTATTTTATATTTTACACTTCTAATAAAAGTTATCATCAGTTTTGAGACACTATTCGCTATTCATATTGAACTGAATAAATGCAAGACAGATTTAGTTTACTGCCATAGTGCGGAACATTCCAGGTAAATCAAAACATCTGCACTCACTAGAAAATTTCCTCAGTGCACCTTTACATGAGTCTGTTGCTCAAATTGCATTGCTCCTGACAAAATGACTAAAATAAACTAAAACTAGATTAGATTTGCGGCGCTTGAGGTTGAATGAAAATGTATTTTTATTTTAGAACAGGTTTTCATTTTTCAAAACATGACAAGGTTAGTCTAAGGTCAGGCGTTTTGACACAGTTACGTAAATTCAAAGACAAAATTAGCTTAAGAGGTCCAGTTCACTAAACGATGTGGTCTTTCTTTAGTGCTGTCACTCAATACTGACCGCTGTGCTCCCGGCGTAACCTTAAAACAGTGCTCCGACTCCCCCTTTACCCCTTTAACCCTCCCGTTTAGACCTCGCCTTTAAGTCTCCCCTCTGCACTGCAACACTCTGGACATGGATTTCCTGTCAGGACCCTAAGCCTGTGCTAAAGCGCCACACACAAAAGGACACATACTAATACACGCTCCCTTAAATTCACATTGCTTGGCTAAAAGTTAAGATATAAACATTTAAATCTATCAGAAAATGACGTAAAAGTAGTGAAATTATCTGTCCATGCTGCAAGATATTTTTACTTGTTAGTTATAAACGACCTCTAGACTAGAATTAAACAGTCTTTGAACTAGTAAGTCGATAATAAAGCTGAAAACAAGTTGAATAACCTGATATAAGTTTTAAAATCTTGGAGAAATTTGCAGGGTACACCGAAAATCTGATCATGATCTGATTTTTGGAGTTATCTGATTATTGAAATATGTAAACTAGGACTGGACAATTTGGGAAAAAATGTCTAATAATACGATTCTGTTCAAAGTTTGTTGAGAAGAACTGACAAAAACACTGAAATACAGTATGAACTGACAAACTAATAGAAGAATCACATTTCAGAACATGTTTTTGCAGATTTAAACCACAGGGCTGGCAATTTTTAGGCAGAAAAATACTGATTACTTTGTTGTCTGTGAAGGAAATTTTGGTACTTTAAAAACTGAAGCCTTTGTGATTTACCAATTATGTCTATTCAAATAACAATTTCAATTTGAGTGTGATTAATCTTGCGTCCCTAATGTATTTTGGATGATACTGTTACAGCCCCAGGCCTTCAGTTCTAATTTGTTTTGTGCGTTTTAATTTCTGTCCTGATTCCTGCTGTGGGAGCCCTGGTCTGTGATTGGTGGGGTTTGTCTACGCCCACCGCACCTGCAGCCACCGCCCACTATTTAACGAGATTTCCAGCACCTCGTTTGGGGCTGCTGGTCTTTGTGGACAGTCTGTCATTTTGTGTTTGTTTGTGTCTCTTTAGTGTCAGTCACTCGTTTGTTCTCGCACGTGTCTGACTTTGTTTGTGTTGAGACAATTCTTTAGTTCATTTCTATTTTGTGCCTTTTTATTTTGTCACTTGATTCTGTTTGTGGGTTTATGTGGTTTTACTTTGGGGCACTTGCGATTTAGTTTTACTGTGTGTCCCTTAGTTTAATCACTTGTTTTTGTGTAAGCCTGCGTGACCCATTTTTCTTGGCACAAAACTTGTATGTTAATCCTGTTGTTTTGTTTCTTAGTTTAAGTTATTTTCTGTACATATTTTAGTCTGTTTTGTTAATTTATCTTTTGCATTCCTGTTAATTAAAGATTCCATTATCAATCTTGGTTCTTTTGTTACTTCCCCTTTTTTTTAATGGTTATTGCAGGGGTGTCCAAACTTTTTTCATCAAGGGCCACATATCTAAAAGCAGAGGGCTGATCGAGGGCTGTAGACTGATACTCAGTACAGGGAATAATTGAAATATGTGCATGTTTAACACTTCAGAATGAGCCATCAGTCTTTATTAATGCTAAGATCCATAAAACCACACATTAAATATTAAATATTAGCTTTATCAAGGGAGATTTTCTAAAAACTTGCAGTAAAAAAAAAAAAAAATGAATTGATGCAAGGTAATTTGGGCCAATTCACCCGGAAGCCTGAGGGCCAAGAAAAAATTGTCTGAGGGCCGCATTTGGCCCCCGGGCCATAGTTTGAACATGCCTGGCTTAGTGGTTTTAAGTATTTTCAAAGCACTTATGCTTATTAAAAGCCCTGTACCTGATATTTCCCCATGTATTTCAGCTAAATTTGTCTTGTCCCTGAACAGATGTATTGTATAAGCAGCTCTCAAGATCAAAAGACTTCCACTGTGTACTGTCTGCATCAAATTATAAAGCGTTCTATTGTCCGGTGATCAGGAAATGCACTTACAGTCTCATTGTGGTGAATAATTAGGATACTCGGAATGCATAAATTAAATGAGGAATAACTCTGGACCACTGCAGTTTACAGATTAAAATGAACAAATTCTGATTTACAAGTTTTTAATCAGGTACTGCGCCTTTAAGATGATGACAGTAATGTACAAAAGCTTCTATTTTACTACACCTTATTGTCTTCATGGAGATGTTATTGCTTTGCCTGGAATGTTTCTCAGTGTGGCATTAAACAAATTCATCTTATTGTATTACATCTACTGTACTCCACCCTGCACTGCAAAACTCGAGGCATAGATTTCCTGTCAGGACTGTGTAAGCCTGTGCTAAAGTTCCACACAAAAGAGAACACACACACACACACACACACACACACACACACACACACACACACACACACACAGAGCTCTATCCAGGTTACTCCAGGCCAGATCTTACAACTGAAGAAGAGAAATGGAGAATGGTGAAAAGAATGTTGCCGGAAAGGAAGTTATTGAGAGGAGATAAAATGACTTTTCAGACGGACAAAGATCTCCCGGAGCAACGGAGACCAGCCGAACAGACAAGTTTGTTAAACCCACGTCAGGAAGTTCTTATCCTGAAAAAAGATGAGTTGCTTAAAGTCATACTGGGGAACATTCCAGGTTCAGGGCGACTCCGTTTATAAGAGAAACTAAAATGTCACTAAAGGCTGATACATGAACCAGCCACAGTGACAATGCTGTTTCTTGCCTTGAATGTAGACTGCTCAATAAATAATGTTTTACTCGGTACAAATGTCAGTAACGCGCGATACAGTTAATTTTTAATCTGGATTGAAGCTTTGGGTTTTTCGTTTTTCTTCTTAAAATTTGCTAAAATCACAGCGATGTCAGCAGCGGTGAAATGCCATCGTTATGGTTCCAAATGTCTGGACGAGCCCGGAGGTGCGCCCGCGTAGACCGTCGGGTGACTACGGACAAAGGACCGAAGCAGAACTCTGCACTCCACAGGGCTAATCGCAGCTGATGCGCGATCACGTTTTGTGGACACCCTGTTCCATGGGCTCGGGGTTCTTTCAGGGGTGGTCCTAGATTCCAAGTCTTAGTCCAAGGTTAATCCTGATTTAGTCCTGGTTTAGACCTGGTTTAGTAATGGTTTAGTCCTGGTTCAGCTCTGGTTTAGTCCTTGGTTCAGTTCTCGGTTCAGTTCTGATTCCGACCTAGTTCAGCATTGATTCAGTCCTGATTCAGTCCTGGTTTAGTCCTGGTTTAGTCCTGGTTCAGTCCTGGTTTAGTCCTGGTTTAGACCTGGTTTAGTCCTGGTTCAGCTCTGGTTCAGTTGGTTCCTGGTTTAGTCCTGATTCAGATCCTGGTTCATTCAGTCCTGGTTTAGACCTGGTTCAGGTCTGGTTCAGTTCTGATTCAAATCAAATCAAATCAAATCAAACTTTATTTATAAAGCACTTTTCATACAAAATGCAACACAAAGTGCTTTACAGTGATTAAAAACAGTCTTTCCAACCACCCAACCACCCACCCACAACCCACATAGTCAAACAACCAAACACACACTCACATACACACAAACATGCACACACACACACACACACACACACACACTCACACTCACACGCTAAAATACATAACCGGACACAATAAAATGTGAGGCTGAATACAGGCGAACCAGTTGAGAAAGCACCATCAGAGGAGCCGTCTGCACCGGGAGCAGAGAGACGTCCACCACCACCAGGAACCACCACAGGGTCCAGGGGAGAGATGAAGCCCAGGCACCTGAGGCCCAAACACCAACCCTCCACCAGGAGCCCACATGACAGACCCAGCAGCCACAGCTGACCTCCACTCCCGATGCAGAGGGCTCCTACAAAGGAAACACTGGAAATCCTAAAAATATGCCTAAGATAAATAATATAGTAAAATGTGTACAATAAAAACAAGTAAAAGTATAAGATTTCAATCAAAAGCTAAGCTAAAAGGTGGGTCTTGAGCCTACTCTTAAAAACATGACGTTCTCTGCAGCCTGATTCAGTCCTGGTTCAGTCCTGGTTTAGTCCTGATTCAGTCCTCGGTTCAGTTCTCGGTTCAGTCCTGATTCAGACCTAGTTCAGCATTGATTCAGTCCTGGTTCAGTCCTGGTTTAGGCCTGGTTCAGCTCTGGTTCAGTCCTGGTTTAGACCTGGTTTAGTCCTGAATCAGACCTGGTTTAGTCTTGGTTCAGTTCTGATTCAGTCCTGGTTTAGTCCTGGTTTAGTCCTGGTTCAGCTCTGGTTCAGTCTTGGTTTAGACCTGGTTTAGTTCTGGTTCAGCCCTGGTTTAGTCCTGGTTCAGTCCATATACGGTGCAAAAGTTCGGCATCTTCACTCACTGATTGTTCTTTGACGATCAGCCACAGTTATTTTGGCGAGAGTAACTTAAAGTGCTGCAATAGTCGTGTAATGTCTTACCTTTTAAACACAGTAATATTGTAAAGTAACGAATTACTTTGAAATGACAGTAACAAGTCATAAACAACACAGTACAGTTTTGAAGTAACTTTCCCAACAGTGAACATGACCAGGCTGTATCTGTTCTTACTGTGTTGTCCCATGAGCGTGTAGAGCTTGTTGAGGGTCTCCGCGTGCTCTGATCCGGGCTGGTGGGAGTGCCTCTGCTCGGGGCTTCGCGAGTGGGGGGACGGGCTCTTGCTCCGGTAGCTGCAGACGAACGAGGGCAGGATGGTGGGGTAGTTCATGCCCCCGTTCAGACGACCCAACAGCGCCCCCATGCCCGGCGTCACGGAGGGGGAACTGCGCCCGCCGTTGGCGTTCCCTCGGCGCACGGGGAGGGTCTTCATCTCCAGCTCCTCGCCCGTCTCCAGGCAGCGGGGGGCGTCACTGTGGTCACCGTAGTCCACCTAAAAGATAATAACGAGGATGGATCGGTCTAGTGAGACGCTTCGAGTCGCTTAAAAAAGACAAATCACCTTCCTCATAGCCCAAGTCATTTTGGCCAAATTGAGTTTTCTCATTCTCATTCCCCAGACGGAGCTGATCTGTAGATATCATTGGCTCCGTCCTCGGCCAATCAGAAAGATTTCACAGCCAAAAAAACACAAATCACCTCAGTCATCTTATTGACGTAGGCAATTAGACTATGAGCCTAATGTCATGTTACGCTTTTTTGCAGATATTTAGAAATAATTCAGGAACTATCACATATAGACCATTATTTTTCACCCCTCAAAACGTAATTTTATCATAACATGCAGCTGATTTATTTTTATTTTTTTAACTATATAACATTTTGGCAGAGGTGGGACCAAGTCGTTGTTTTGCAAGTCTCAAGTAAGTCTTTCAAGGAGTCAAGTCCCAAGTCAAATACAGGCACGTCCAAGTCGAGTCTCATAAGTCCAAATCAAGTCCAAGTCGTCTGCTTTGAGCTTCAAGTCATTTCAAGTCTTTAAACCAAATTACTAAATGGAGCTTAGATTTTTGCAATTTATATGACTTTCAAGTTAAATTGTATTTAAAGTCATGGTATATTTATGTTGTAGAGTTGTAGAAATGCTATTTTTTTCCTTTTTAAATGTCCTGACAAGATCTTAGTGTGAATCATTATGGTCAGAATAGAAAGAATTAAGATTTACAAGTGCTTCATAACCATTTTATCATGTAGTCTGCACTGAAGTGGAAGGATCACTTTCTCTGTAGTTCCCTCTGATTTACTGTGTTGTACTGTATATTATGTAGTACATTTGGGATATCGCATCACAGTACTTCAGCTACATACAAAGTAAGTAAAAGTAAAAGTAAAAGGGAGGGACATGTTCCAGTTTGTGCCTGTAAAATTAAGCACTGCATTTATCAAATGTAAAGAGAAAAGTACTTTCTAAAAACAAATATTTTTTAGCAGAGGCATCAAGTCTTCTCAAGTCACAGGGCTCAAGTCTGAGACATTGAGCTTCAAGCCCAAGTCGAGTCCCAAGTCTTAGTCCATTTTTTCACATCAAGTTTCAAGTCCTAAAAATAGTGACTCAAGTCTGACTCGAGTCCAAGTCCTCACCTGTGCATTTTGAAACCCTTTATGTATGACCTATAGTATGAAAATGCAGTACTGTGGGAGGGTTTAGGTGATAGATGATAGACTTAAATATATTTAAAACTGATCAAAATACAATTCTGATCAACTTAATGCTGACAGAAACCATTATAACATGGTCAAAAACATATAGAGTAAGTCATTTTTGCATAATACATTCCCTTTACAGTCTCATGCATTTCTTTTTTACTCTCCACACTTGATAGATGTTGTACCTTGAGTGTGTGCTGTCCTCCGTTGCTGAGTCGACAGTGCTGGTGCTGGTGGGTCTGCAGGAGGCTGTGGATGGGGCGGAGCCACACGCTGTTGTTGGGACCCGAGGCCCCCACACCACGACTGGAGCTGTGGCCATTACCTCCGCCGTTCCCCCCTCCGCTGCCGTTCGGGTTGACTTTTTTACGTCTTTTACTGAAAGAAATAAACAAAGGCGAATGTTTGGAAGTCTTGATGTTATCTGCTCAGAGAAAGGAAGAAAACAAGTTGTAAACTTGTGTAATAGCTTGAAACTACTGCGCTCTATTTATGTTGAAATGTTTTAGTTTTCCAGTTTCATAACATCATCAAATATTATGGCCACAATAAACTTTTATCGTTTATTTAAACATATTTGACAATGCTTTTACTCGCCACACTCGGCGATGGTAATAGCTGCTAATCTGCTCCAGTGGCCTTTTATACAACCACATTCATACATAACAAAGTGGGTGAAGTGTCTTGCTCAAGCACACAACAACAGTGTATATTTGTTGGAGCAGATAACGCATCCATTTCCGGTTCAACTGAGCCACGCTGAACAGAAATAGTTCTTAATGTGTCTTAAAGCTGCAGTTCCCAACATTTCAACTTCTTTTATCCACAGAGTATTTGGTGCAATAAAATTTTGTCTCAGTACAAACATGTAAAAGCAGCTCTTTGGGACCTTTGTGTGCTGTCTGTGCCTTAGTATAAAGCGTTTTTTTGTCCACAAACCAGGAAATAATGTTGGTACACTGTGAGCATAGTACTTCTTGTTCGCAGTGGCGTTACAACAAAACTGATCTGGCCTTTCAATGTTACGAAAATCTCTTACAAACTCATCGCAAAGAATAATTAGGAAGCTAGGAATGTGTTAATAACTTTGGACCGCGATCCGCCGCCTTTTCCGTCATCCCTTCATTACGACATGTCTCTGTTTCAACATGCTGGTATTACGACATGCCTCTATTTAGACGTTTTCCTACACTTTATAGTATTGCTATTCCAACACGAAATGTATGAAGCACAGAAGGCTCATGCAGCCTCCCTTTTCGACTAGATATTTTCCCGAAGCCTGGCCTATGCTCTTTTTTAAAATGCACCTCTGTTTCGCTCAGCAGTTAAGACATTTTCCCGCTGTCTGTTCCTATGTGGCCGACGTATTCTCTGATTAAGTGTTTTACTGTGGCCCAAGTATCTCATGATATATGAAAGCGCAAAGTATAATAGGCTATCACATTAATATTATTCATGTTGGAAAAGCAGAATGTTAAGAATAGTACAAGGCCGCTACTCTGACAATGAGGTAGTAGGAGATAATGTTTATGCCCTTCTCTTCATTTAAGATATTCTCTTTGAATGTTTGATTTTATGAGCTATAACATCAACCTGCCCGAGGACGACAGGTGGAAATTAGCACTGGCGCTACAACCTGGTACAATGAATCACTCCTGTTAATGTCAATGTATATATGGTGCACTGTCCCCGTTTCATTAAATAAACTAAACTAAACATGCCGCTACTCTGACAATTAGATATCAGTGTCTAAGAACGTCATGTCTAGGGTGACCAAACGTCTGTTTTTCCCCGAACGCGTCTGTTTTTTGTCTCCTGTCTGTTTTTTGTTTTTTTTTAAGTGGTGGAAATGTCCGGGTTTTCATGATCTTTCATAAGGGCCATTAAATTGAGAGTCTTTCGTAGCTCTCTGTAACTCAGAAGGAGCGAGCAGACACAAATAGCTGGTCAGTCTGCATCATGCTGAAGCGCAAATGCGTATTTAACAATGACTTGTACAAGAAATTCTCCGTTTTCTGGTCCAGTCGGGACAAGTGGGAGGCCATGTGCACAGGTTGTCGAGGCCCCACCCACCACACCCGGTAAGATAGGGTGACCATATTTCTGTTTGTGAAAACCCGGACACCTTACCGGGGGTGGGAGGTTGGGCCTCGACATTGAGCTACAGTCCCTCGCTATATTGCGGTTCACCTTTTGCGTTCTCATCGTTTTGTGGATTTTTTTTCTTTTCCTTTTTTCTGTCAGTTTTGCATGTTTTTTTTTTTTTTTTTACACACGGGTGGGTCAGGACTAAACCAGGTCTAAACCAGGACTAATCTTGGATTTAAGAGAGAGAATGCCGTGCAGTTAGTCCACAAAGCGCGATCGGGCAATTGCCGTGTTTACCTCTGTGAGCTGCGGAGCTGAGCCGGTCCTTTCTCCTGCGGTCACCTCTGAGCCCGTCCCCACAGTGAGTCCTGTTTCAGTCCTGGTTTAGTCCTGGTTTACTCTTGTTTTAGTGCTAGTTCAGTCCTGGATTAGTCCTCCTCTTCAGTCCTGGAATCAGTCCTAGGTTAGTCCTGAGTTAGTTCTGGTTTAGTCTTGATTCAGTCCGTGGCGTAGGCACCGCAAAAGTTTGATATAATCTCGGGTTAACGGGCAGGTGCGGTCCTGTACTGCGCGGATGCGGTGTTATACTGGGGGTCTCCAAAAATGGACCCGTGCAGGACTCTGCGCTGTAGGTTCCATTACGGAATAAAATAATCTCTGGTTCGTTACATAAATAAGGAGAAAAATAACATAAGGACGACAGCAGCAATAAGTTTTAAGAAGGATAAAAGGGTTGCACCTGTCCTGTCTGAAAAAAGTGTATAAAGTGTGTGGTGAGGGGTTTTACAGCCTTAAAACAGATATAATAATTGTAAAATATAAAGGTGACTACTTTGCAGATTTCACCTGTCGCGGGTTATTTTTAGAACGTAACCCCCGCGATAAACGAGGGACACTGTACTCTCACCTCCCAACCTGTGCACATGGCCTCACACTTGTCCCGACCGGGAGGGAAAACTGAGAATTTCTTGTCCAAGTCATTGTTAAATATGCATTTGTGTTTCAGCATGATGCAGACTGACCGACTGTTTGTGTCTCGCTCCTTCTGAGATACAGAGAGACGCTCAGATTAATGCACCCAATGAACAGTAATGAAAACCTGGACATTTGCATCACTTTAAAAAAAAAAAAAAACGGACGCCCCAGACAGGACGCAAAATACGGACATATCTGGGGAAAAACGTACGTTTGGTCACCCTACGGTAAGATGTTCAGGTTTTCACAAATGGAAATAAGGTCACCCTAGTCATGTCAGAACAGCAGTATGAAACCCTTTGGACCACTGCAAACAGTTCAACATAAACTAGTCCTGTTTTTAATGTTTTAAGCCAGTAAAAATATAACATAACACATATAAAAAGTAAAAGAGTAAAACAGACCTGTGCCAGCCCGAGTATATTCTCTGCAGTCTGCGCGTTAGCTTTCGGTACAGGTGGCTAATGTAGCGTAGCATCTCCTCGTAGCAGGAGCCCGGCTCGCTGTAGCTCGCCAGCGTGGAGTCGTTGGACATGTAGCGGGCGCGCTGCTCCCTCATCAGAGCATTCTCACGCTGCTTCGTCTCCGAGAACTGGGTGGCGATGACCACCAGGCACAAGTTAATCATGAAGAAAGAACCCACCTGGAAGAAGTTTTTTTAGATGTCAATGGAAATTCTATGCAGTTCGTTTAATGCCAACATGCCAGAAGTCACAGTGAGAGTGTAGAGTCTGTTTATGGGTTTAAGGACGCCATTTTGAGGACTTTAAACCATTGACCATTTATTTTTTATGTTTTGATTTGTAAAAAATATTGTTTTGAGGGAAATCCATCATGTTTTGCCACTGCTGAAATTCATGAAAATTCATGGCCTAAATTTTTCAAAGTAAAGTCCCTTTTAAATGTTTTGTTCATTACATGCTTAAATGAATATCTAGTTTCACTACAAGTTTTAGTATCGATTAGTACTGATAAGTGTTGATATTGATTTCTTGTACAGAGGGCACTAGACAGATTTTACAGTTCATAGTCTGGCTTTATCAGTACAACGGTGATGTCTTATGCGAGTACAAGAAACGTTTAAAACAGAATACATATAAAAATTAGACAGGACTGATAAGCAGCAGGGACCTCCGCCAAATCACTGGGCGAAGATCTCAAAAGTTATTAAAAAGACAAAGACAAGCCAGAACCCACTGACCACTGATTTTTGATGTTTTGATTTGTAAAAAATATTGTTTTGAGGGAAATCCATCATGTTTTGCCATTGCAGGAATTAAAAAAATCTCCATTGGTTTACATTTTCATTTTGTTAAAGTAATGTTTAAATTTGAATTAATTGTTTTAAAGATGCACTATGTAACTTTTTTGTGTCTGGCATGTATTCATAGTTATTATTGCTTTGCCTGGAATCTCCCACAGTATTATTTTAAATGTATTCATCTCCATGGAAACAAACAATTTAAGTCATCAAGCCAAGTTACAGTTTAGATCTGTGGAGGGGCGAGCTCACTCACAGTTGGGATGTTTTTAAGTTATTTGTTTTAGCAATAGAAACAATTGTACTTGAATAAATGCAAGAGAGATTCATTTCATCCAATCCACCCACAAAAAATCAACATTGTGCACCTTTAAGAATTTGTTTGTCTTGCGTTTTGAATTTCTTCACTTAAAATAAGAAAACCAGGCACAGGTTAAGCATGAAGAAAGAGCAGAGGCGCCTCATTTAGATTCAAGTGTAAACACAGTTATTTGAGCAGACACAGAGCGCAGCACTGCGGGGGAGCATCGTGACCAGTCTCAGGTGCACAGTGACAGAGAGGCAGGCTGCACAGCTGGGGCCTGCCCGGGGCCACAGCTTCAGCTTCACCTGCGTCACATGGGTCACCTGGGTCATGTGGGCGATCGCGAGACAGATGAGCTGGGACGATATCCTCTAATCTAAACTATTACAGGTTTACCAGCGCTACAGATTGACAGAGCCTGTGGTTAAAATGAACAGCTGGGGTCTGGTTTCCGTAGCTCAGATCACACCGAACTTGAGTTATTTTTGCTTTATTGAATGTTTTAGTAACGTAAGAATGCAGAGTTTAGATTAAGGCTGCACAATTTGTAATATGTAATTGCATTTTTGTTCAAAGTTATGAAAAATATCCTGATAAATATGCTTGAACTTGAAGCACTAAATCCACTGAATTAACAAACTGTGTATATAAGGTGTTTTATTGTCATCAACTACTGTTCCAAGTCATTTTTTGCTGCCATTTTCCTGCAGACTAAGTATATTTTGCAGCATTCCGGTGCAAAAACGCATACATCTAATTGTGTGCAGGCTTCAGTGGTTGCCGCAATTTGAAATAGTTGGTGACATCACACATGACTGCCCAAATTACAGCCAGGTGTTTCTGAAAATAAACTTGGCAGGCTATATAGTCCTGGATTATTTCTGGTATTCATGAGTTTCAACTTCCTGTTACATGCCAGGACTTTTTCCCATTTGGAAGATATATTTTGTTTTCAATACATGCATCCCGAATTTTGGACTTCCGGTCATCGTGCAATGCATACTGGGAAGGATCCTCTGAAAAAGTGAGCATCAAACCGCCATGTTTGGTTTCCCAGTGGGATGCATTTTTAGTCAAAGCCGATCTTTTCTAGTCTTTTGAACCATATCGCTTTTGTTTCTAGTTCTGATATTGTCATATTTTAGTTTTTGGATTCAGACATCGTAATTGTGTGGTTGTTGGATGTTGTAACAGCAGAAACCAGCTCAAAAAATGGACTACGGAAGTTTGCGAACTCCATAACTGCAAAAGGGAATCAGAGTTGTGTGACTGCAAACCTCCGTTCAAACTGTTTCCCTTCCCAACGGAATTGAAAAATAGTGAAAGACGAAGGCGATGGGCAGTATTGATACACAGGAATGACGAAAAAGATAACCTTTGGCTGCCTAAGAAATCATCCCGAGTTTGCAGCGAACATTTTGTATGTGGAGCACCAACAAAGCAAAATCCCGATCCCTCGCTCCACCTTGGTGACGAATTTAAAAAGTCAACACCAAAGCAAAAAGCACCAGCTGTTTGCCAAAAAACACCTTCCATGCAAAGCGACCGAGACGTGATGTTGCTGTAAAGCCAGTCGAACAAGAAAGTGCGAGCTCAGCCTGTGTGTCTTCTGTACCTCTCGCTTAACAAACAGAATTTTACTTTGATGGCGGTTTGATGCTCACTTTTTCGGAGGAGCCTTCCCCGTATCCATTGAAGTCCGAAATTCGTGACGCATGTATTGTTGGCCTAATTTTTCATCGACAGATCCAAACCACTCTTGAACTATCAAAGTAAGGTCCCTTCTAAATGTTTTTTTCAATACATGTTCAAATGAATATAAAGTTTCACTACAAGTTTTGGTTTCGATTAGTACTGATTAGTGTTGATTTGTATCTGGATATCTTTTTTTTTTTTGTATAGAGGGCACTAGACAGATTTGCAACACGTAGTCTGGCCTTATCAGTACAACGGTGATGGCTCATGCGAGTACAAAAAACGTTTAAAATAGAATACATATAAAAATTAGACAGGACTGATAAGCAGCAGGGACCTCCGCCAAATCAATGGGCGAAGATCTCAATAGTTATTAAAAAGACAGAACAAGCCAGACAGTCAGCATAGATTACGCACGGATATCAGTCTGAACTATAATGGTTCCATCAAACTGTTTTTATATGGCTTTTCATAGACTAACGGGAAGAAATGGGTATTAATCTAACACTAATCTAACATTTTTATGGTTTAATACTGTTATCTGAGCATGTTTCTTTTGGAGTGTACGTTTGTTTACATTTGTCACTACAACCAACGCAGTAAAACCGGTTGAGACAAATGCTGCCACTAAGCCGCCGTGATTTACTACGATATTAACTTGTTTGAGAATTACTTGCTAATTGCTGGACTAATTATTTCCGGCATGTTGTAATATATTTACGGCATGCCAAATATCAAGTTTTCAAATAAATACCAGCGTACATTGATAACAGCTGCTTATCTGTATGATGGAATCTCTCTGTGTCTTAATGTATTCTTAACAGGAAATTAAAGAGCTCTGCGAGGCCGACGTTTAAGTCTGATCACCATCGTGTCATGTTTTAATGAGAAACGCAATCAAAATCCAACTCTGAGCACGTTTGGTAATTCTGATTTGATACTATCACGCTTCATCCTGATTAAGTATCAACATTTTAATATTAATTCCATCTTTTCTTTCTTATGCTTGTTGTCAAAATATTTCTCATTTTATTAAAGTTTTCTTCAGCTATTAGTTTTATCAACAAACAGATTTAAATTCCATTGCGTTCCACAAAAGGGTTTTCAAAAGTATTGGAAATATCCTACGCTAATCAATGCTAAAACTAGGGTCAAAACTAGATACTCATTTGAGCAGGTATCGATACAAAAAAAAAAGTCACATTCACTGGACAGACATTAACCTTTCCTGCTTTAGAATGATTTTGAGCTACATCAGAACAAATATAAAACAACATAACCTAACCTGGTCGATTGAGGATTGGAGGATTACACAGATAAACAACATGGTAAAAGAAAGTATTATTATTTATTGTTGAAAATTACATTCTATTAAATCAAATGTTGTGTTTTTTTTTTTTTATATTATCATCATGGTATTGGAATTGGTATTTAGTATTGAGTCAATTCCTTGGTATCGGAATAGAGTTTGAATTTTAGTATCATGACTAGGGCTGGGTATCATTAAGAAGTTGCCGATACGATACATACCTCGATACAGTGAGCTTTTGATTCAATACAATTTTATACGATATATTTTAAACCAATTTGATAGGGTTCAATAAAAAATAAAGGCTAAATCATGGCTGTGATACTAAAAGTCTTTGTGAAACTACTTCCTGTGCAAAGTGAGAATGAAACACAAACATTTTAATCATCAAAACAGTGAAAATGTCAAATGTGTTGAATCCGTGTGTCATTCGTTCATTCGTTTTTCAATATAAAACCAAAAATAAGAAAAAGAAAAAAACAACAGTTTTCTTCATTATTTGTCTCCAAAACCAAAATGAAAAAATGAATAATGACCGTTTCCCATTTACGTGACTTCTGTGACTGCGAGGTCGGACTTTAGCGCCACATACAGACTGAACCAGGACTGAATCAGAACTAAAACAGCACTAAACCATTTTCAGTCCTGGTCTGGTCCCGGACTCAGACCCGGTCCTGGTCCCGGACTCAGACCCGGTCCTGGTCCCGGACTCAGACCCGGTCCTGGTCCCGGACTCAGACCCGGTCCTGGTCCCGGTCTCAGTCCTAATCTCAGTCCCAGTCTGGTCCCGGACCTGGTTTAGTCCTGGTTTAGTCCTGGTTCAGTCTGTATGTGGCGCTAAAGTCCAGCATCGCAGTCACGAAATCACATATCCGTTTTTTTTTGGAGACATATAATGAAGAAAACTGTTGTTATATAGTTTTCTTATTTTTGTTTTTATTTTGAAAAACGAATGAACGAAAGATACACGAATTGTGTTGCATAAACATGTTTTCTTCTTCTAAACGAGCAACAAAACTGTAACTCTGTACAAAATAATTTAGTAAAACATACCAAAAAATACTCTCGGCGATATATCAATACAGCAGTTCATGATATCGATACAGTATCATGACATTAAACGATACGATATATTGACATTTCGATATTTCTGAACACCAATAATCATGGCAACAGTTTTCCATATTAAGTAGGAAGCGTTTGTTATTTAGCGTGACACAAATATAGATTATCATAGGCATGGCAGAGTTTCAGATTTGTCAACTGCAATTAATTAGTGGATAAGATAAAAATAAATAGCAAAAAAAGTGATACTTACGATTATAAGAAGTATAAAATATATAAAATTGTAGAAGGAGTGAGCGTCCATGACATAGTACATGATATCTACCCATCCTTCCAGAGTAATGACCTGCAAAAGAGACACAAGAATGAGAGGTTTGCATGAGAGTAAATACACTGGGTTCAATCTAAAGTGCTCAGAGTTAAATATTAAATGTGTGGTGGAGGAAAGGACAGAACTCTGAAGCAGAATTAGCCCTTTAAAGCTGCATTATGTAACTTTTCTGGTGAAGGGTACGCCATTTTGTTTCCATGGTTAAAGCTTTGTCTGAATTTTCCGAAGTATGAAACTTATCGGTCTGTGTACCATTTGTTCTTTTAATTTCAATTAAGAAAAAGAAACAATAAAATGGGAAAGCAGTTTGTTATTTCATTATTCTGTTTTAGTGTCAAACAAAAAGAACCTAAACAGATTTCAACCTCTATTTCCAATATTTAATGTTTATTTCAAATAACACCAATCAAAAAAACAGCCTCTGTGCCTATTTCTATTTTGATATTTTATTCTCTTCTAGCAGATATATTTTATTCTCTTCTCTGGAGCTACTTCTATAAACCAGAGAGAATAAAATATCAAAATGATGACTGCTTTTTGACTGGTGTTATCTTTTTAAATCTGAAATAAAGCAGAATAATGAAATAACCGTTTTCCCATTTTATTGGTTTTCGTTCTTAATTGAAATTCAAAAGAACGAACGGTACACCGGACACTTAACATATCTCTCTAGCATTTATTTCATTATACGCTTGAAAACATTGGGCATTTTGGATGTGAGCGAAGTCGCCTCTCCGCAGATCTAACCTGTGATTTGGACGGAGATGGGAGAGAGATACATGAATGCTATAGAATATATATCTCAATGGAAACAAGTAGAAAAAAGCAGATATGTTGACCTTGTTTATGGTTAATATCTCTGCAATTGTTGGGCCTGTCTACAGAACATGAAACAGAAACTGGGACAAAGTTCATTATTGTCTTAGCCATGATAATGAACTGTGGAAATCTATGGTTACGTTTACACTGAAACGAATCACTGTATCACCGTATCAGAAACAATTTGCGTCCAGACACATCGTTTCTGTGTCCGCGAGCCTCCCCTATCCACACAGATTTGCGCATATTTGTTTACGTTTTACAGAAATGAAACTTAAAACTAAGTGCTCAAAAAACAGATCCTTCCTTGTGTCGTGACATGGTTCATCTTCTGTCGGATTAAAGGACACGACTCAGTGGATTATATGTGTTCTTTCTGTGACAGAGGGATGTTCTGCTGATGGTGAGTCTGTCCTGTGCAAGTAGTTCTAGCTCTGCTGTTTCCCGTTTGTTTATGGTTTGTTTAAAATGTTTTCCGTAATAGCGTCACATGACCGATGTCACGAACCCAGCGAATCAGGAAGGTGCAAATCACAGTGACGTGCTCCAAAAAGGACGACAACTAGAGCTCCTACGCCAGCGTATCAGCGTTTTCAGGCGTCCACACAGCGCCGGATCAGATCTGTACTCACTCATTTTCAATCGGATTAGTTTAGACGAACACTGCACCCGCAACGAAAACAACTCGAATATGTACTAGTGTGGATGGGGCCTATATGTTTTTCAAGGAAGCAATATAGCATTATTAAAAGCCACTAGCACTTTTTTTTTTTTTTTTTTTTTAATAAGTTAAAGGGCATTAATTCTGCTATTTTCTGATCTGTTATAATATTGTTTCCTCCTCAAAAATATACTTGGAGTTGTTTGTTTCATTCATCCATGTTTAACACAAACCCTGCAGACTTAGGCTGAGTTCTTCTCTCAAACAGAAAACACTGTTCCACTGTTCTGTCATTTGGTAATACAGGAAGTGCTCCACTGTGTTTTTAAACTCCATGCACCTTCCCTAAAATTATATGGATGATTTGAGATCTGGAATTGCCAAATCTGAAATAATTTCTACTGAATTAAAAGGTAGTAAAGTAAAAGGTAGATGTTAACTTGAAAACTTTTGAGCTTTGGAGACGTCGACAGACTAATAATAAAGGATTATGCAAACATTTGTGACTGAAACAAAACAACTCTGGCTATGTTTTCCAGGAGATAACAACATTATAATCTGATTTAAAGCTCACAAGAATCCATTTTGTGTAATATTGGAACGTTAAGATGAATACGGCAAAACTATGACCCAAATCCTAAACAAATAATAATAATAATAATAATAATAATAATAATAATAACGTTGGTGGATTTTATGGTATTGATTTATTTTTTCCCAAAGCAGTCAATCTCCCGCAGATGTAAATAAACTTCTTCCCTCCATCTGAAACGATTACATCAAACACTCGAATGCAGCGAACGCAACCCAGACAAAGAGACGTCGCTGAGAAAAGCCCGTATTCATGTGTGTTCGCCCGGGGACCGTTACGTCGCTTCTTTCATGCTGGCTGTGTAAAACGTGTATGCTAATGAGGATGCCGCGGTGCTTTGACCTGAATGTGCTTTGTGTAGTCAGTGTGACATTTGCACTTTCTCCGGTAGCGTAACATGGCCCTCCACTGAATAAATAGTACAACGAAGTACACGGCACGCATACCAAAGCAGACACGACGTCCTGACCATGAAAGAGCTTCATTTGTTTGGCTATTAAACGGTATTTCATCGTAGCTTTTGTAATATTTCCAGGGATAAAAACTAAGCATGAATAAAGAGTACAAAAATGAAACAACGAAGATAAAATTGTGATTTAATGGGTGCTTTTTCTACAACTTCTAAAACAGAATAAAATGAAAAGAAAGTAAAAGTAAAGAGAGGATCCAAGCTACCAAAAAATGTAAAAATTCTGTGTGAATATGAATCAAAGTTCAGTTCTGTCTGGTGTTTTGTAAAGGTGTTGGAATGTCATTGACGCTTTATAATATGATTAATACAAATTATGTTGATTTTGCCAATTAAAATATTCAAACTATTTCGTTGACTAATACAAGACTGAAACTTAAAATGTTACTAAAGTCTGCAAATTAGTCACCGGGTAGAAGAAGAAGTACATGGACGTCAGTGATCTATTTGGTGGCAATGTTTAAATGTCACTGTTAAGTAAATCAAAATAAAATCTATAATTCTGTATACTACCAGCTTGTTTCCATTACAGTGTTATTGCTTAGCCTCGAATGTTCCACAGTAGGGCATTAAAACATATCAATCTTGCATTAACTGCATTACAATCCGTGTTTCAGACGTTGATTCGTTTTTTAAAATGGAACCAAAAGTAAGAAAAAGAAAAAACAACAATTTTCTTCATTTGTCTTTAGAAATGGATAACAATTTGTTTTGTCAGTTTTTGATTTTGTGTTTAAATGAATAATGGTAAAAAAACGGATAACCGGATAACATTACACCCAGTTTTGACCCTTACAGACTGAACCAGGACTGAACCAGGACTGAACCAGGACTGAACTAGGACTAAAACAGGACTAAACCAGAAATAAACCAGAAATAAACCAGGACTGAGAGTCATGATGTGCCCTGAGGTGTGCCCACGTAGACCGTCGGGTGACCGCACTTTGTGGCCACCATGCTTCACAGGCTTGGGCTCTTGTCTCTCTCAAAGTCCAAGATTATACCTGGTTTAGTCCTGGTTTAATCCTGGTTTAGACTTGGTTTAATCCTGGTGTAGTCCTGGTTTAGTCCTGGTTTAAAGTTCAAGATTAGTCCTGGTTTAGTCCTGGTTTAGACCTGATTTAGACCTGATTTAATCCTGTTTTAGATCTGGTTCAGTCCTGTTTCAGTCCTGGTTCGGTCCGTATGCGACGCAAAAGTCCGGCATCGCTGTTTTTTTCTATTATTCATTTTAACACAAAATCAAAAACTGAAAAGACAAATCGTTATCTGTTTTTTCACTTTGGCTTTGGAGACAAATAATGAAGAAAGTAGTTGATTTTTCATTTTCTTATTTTTTTGCTTTATTTTGAAAAACAAATGAATGAATTACACATGGATTTATTACATTACAGGTGTTTTTACTGCCCAAAAATACCTTGAAAAACATGAATTCTTAAAGTAAAGTTAATATGACAAGAGTTCTGATAAGTTTAGCTAGTTAGTTTTTAGTTAGTTTGTTTTTTTACTTACATTAACATACATTTTTATTATCACCTGACACTTGGTCTGGCTTGTCTCCATGGAGATAGATACATTTAAAGCCATACTACGTAACTATCCCTGCAAAACAATAAAACATGTCCATGGAAACAAGCAGGTGCCATATCCTCCACCTTTAAAGTTACATAGCGCACATTTAAGTCTCATATGACCTTATAAATGTGATTATTTCATATTTATATTTGAGAATTGAAATGTTTAAACCCCGACTAATCCAGCTAATCCTTCGCTTATAGAAACATCACGCTCTCGTTCAAATTAACATCTCCTCGTTGGTTCTCGAGGTGGTTTTGGGCACCTACTGTACTCACCTACAGTCTTAAGGCAAACTGATTATCATATATACATTCATATTTATATACATCCAATTCATATTTACACACGCCCAGACAATAAAGGAAATATGTGGAGGTGACACGCTCCATGTCTCACTCTCCAGGCTCACTGCATCCTCCTCTTCCTCTTCTCGTTTTTTACCCTCTGATGCTATTTTGGTGCAGAAATGTTTACGCTTAAAATGATTAATAGTCGTGTTGGAAGGTTTGGAGCTTCTAACGGTGTCAAACCTCAACAGGCGAACCGTCACTAATTAGAATGTCTTTGAACTGACAAGTCTAATACTGCAATATTAATTTAGCTCTATTGCCAAACAGAATTAATTTGTTTACAAGGCTATGCAATGTATTTTGGCATACGTGTAGGTTAATGGAGAAATACAAAAGAGTAAGAAAATGGGAGTAAGAGTGGGTTGGAATTAAAAGCAACATTGTGTAACTTTCTGGGGGTGGCAGGTCAACTGTATGATTCCATGGAAATAGAAAGTTAAAGCCATACTTCTGAAACATTCTCCATAATGATGATGATAAAGTTTCTAAACATTTTACTTTGGAAAATTAGTAGAAAAAGTAGTAGTAGAAAAGAAAGTAGAAAGT